GATTTCCACCTTGGAGCTAGTCATGAAAGGTTCTTGATATTGTTTCTTGCTAGAAGAAACAATTTAAAGTCATACTCACCAGCCCTTGTTCAATTCTTGTTGAAGAATTTAGGTTCTTGGTGAAGAACCATCATGATGATCCTGCCTCACCATACGCTGTGTCATCTTCAGTGGATTTGGGTTTTGGTCTTCTCTTTGGGCGTGAACACCTAAGTTGAGAGTTAATGTTACTTCCTATCAGATATATCACTCTCTTCCCTTTTGGTTTTAGATCTGGTCTGGTTTTGGTTCAAAAACGAACCTTGTAAATGCAATTTTCTAAATTAGGGAATACGATTCCCGAATGGGAGAGAGAAATTTTTTGAAATTTCGCCCAACCTTCCTGTAGGGTTCGGCCTTCCAAATGATGGATCTCCCATCCCTTTAGCTTTGTCATAATGCGTTGGGTAGTCAAGTGATGCTATTGTGAAATGTTGTCATGTGGGTTGGCATAGACTGTGTGTCAAATAGCGATATAATGAAAAAAAAACTTATTAGCAACACGTTGCTTTTGGCTTTCCCGGGATTGGGTGTGGGCATATTGTCGCTTTATCACAAATCATCAAGGGCACGAACACTATGAAATTTCCTCCTAAGGCGTGATCAGGAGGGGTTGAGCCCAATAATCTAATGTGAAGTAGTTAATCAAGGGCTTATGCTTGTCTCGAAATGTTATTAGGCACGAAATATCACCAAGACGAAGAGGCAAAGTGTGAGACTTGCCTATGTCTTGAAATGAATTTGTGGCTACCGTGGGAAAATGTAGTTTTGATTATCCTTTCTAGGGCTACATGGTGCCGTATCTTAAAAGAGTGAGGTCCTTAATGAGTTGCCACGGGCACTCGGTTTATTGCAACCAAATTTTGGGAACGTAGGGTGTTGTTTGTAAGTGGAGTGTCATTGTTGATGTTGGGGTGGGTGTAGTTTGTCCTCCTGGGATTTGTTACTATTAAACGGAGTATCTCCGTTTATGGATTTGGTAGGATCATACTTCCTACAAACGGAGCCCCCCAATGGTTGCACGGATACATGTCCCTGCCTGGGGTTACCAGGGCTTTGTCTGTGACTGGGCTTGTCTAGGCTTGTCTGTGTCTGGAGTTGTCAGGGCTTATTAAAGTGCCTGGGGTTGTCGGGGCTTATTGGAGTGTCCGGGGTTGGCGGGGCTTATTAGGGTGCCCAGGGTTGAAGGGGGCTTATTTGGGTGCCCGTGGATGCTCGGGCTTCTTAGCGTGCCCGAGGTTTCCGGGGCTTATTAGTGTGCCCGGGGTTGCCGGGGCTTATTAGGGTGCCTGGGGTTGTCGGGGCTTATTAGAGTGCCTGGGATTGCTGGGGCCGCCAGGGATTATTAGGGTGTCTGGGGTTTCCGAGGCTTATTAGGGTGCCCTGGGTTGCCCGGGCTTATAAGGGTGCCCAGGGTTGTTGGTGCTTATTAGAGTGCCTGGGGTTGTCGGGGCTTATTAGAGTGCCTGGGATTGCTGGGGCCGCCAGGGATTATTAGGGTGTCTGGGGTTTCCGAGGCTTATTAGGGTGCCCTGGGTTGCCCGGGCTTATAAGGGTGCCCAGGGTTGTTGGTGCTTATTAGAGTGCCTGGGGTTGTTGGGGCTTATTAGGGTGCCCAGGGTCGGTGGGGCTTTTTAGGGTGCTGAGGTTTCCGGGGCTTATTAGAGTGCCTGGGGTTGCTGGGGCTTATTAAAGTGCTCGGGGTTGCCGGGGCTTATTAGAGTGCCCAGGGTTGTTGGGGCTTATTAGGGTGCCCGGGATGGTCGGGGCTTATTAGGGTGCCCGGGATGGTCGGGGCTTATTTAGGGTGCCCAGGGTTTCCGGGGCTTATTGGAGTGCCCGGGGTTGTCGGGGCTTATTAGTGTGTCCAAGGTTGCCAGGGCTTATTAGGATGCCCGAGATTGTCGGGGCTTATTAGACTGCCCGGGATTGTCAGGGTTTATTAGGGTGCCCAGGGTTGCTGGGGCTTTGGGAGCATGGTTAAACAGGTTATAGAATCAAAGACAAGATATTTTATGTAAACAAGTATGTGGAACATATTGGAACAAATTGTAGTGTAACATTCATTTAACTACTATCACAGTGTACAAGTACATGAAGTCTTAATCGAAGGGTGAAAAGGAAACAACTTCAACGCAATCATAATTCTTTCAAGAAGGAAATGGACTTTATCACAGAGCAAGTGGGTAGTTAATAAAGATTCCTAGATAATAAAACATTGAAGATTTTTTCATAAGGTATTTGTGGAATTAGAGAAGCACAAAATTAATCAAAGTAAGGTTTCAACTAGTTGCTGTTAATGGTTTAATCCTCTCCGCCTGTGTCTATAGTTTTTAATACATAGTAGCCTGAAGTATGGGCTTCTTTTATTAGGTATGGCCCCTCCTATGTTGGGTCAAAATTTCCAGCGAACTTGCCTTGCCGAATGTTGAGAGCTGTCTTTAGTACTTTATCACCCTCTTTTAAATTCCTGGGCTTCAGGTGTCTATTGAAGTTTCTGGCTAAGGCTTGTTTGTACTAGTTCTGTTTTTGTGAAGATATGTCTCTAGCTTCGTTGATTACCTTGAGCTTGTTTGCAACTAATTGGTCCATGTCCTCTGTCTTGATCTTTTTGCCCATCGCAAAGGCTTTCCTAGCGAATACAACTCTTATCTCTATCGGGAGTACTTCTTCTTGACCATACACCAAAGAGTAGGGTGCCACCTATGTACTCTTTCTGATAGATGTGCGGAAGGCCCAAAGAGTTTTTGACAACTTGTCTGCACAGTCTTTTTGATTATCGGCCATGGTTTTGCTCAACATCCTGAGTAATGTTTTATTAGTGGCCTCTGCCTACCCATTTCCCTATGGGTAGTATGTTGTACACGTTCAAGTCTTGCACCGTATTGCCCTAGGTGGTCATGGACTCCTTGATTTTTGAGGGACAGGTCATTATCCGTCAGTATCCACAATGGGACTCTGAATCTATGGACTATATTCTGCCTTTGGAAATTTGTTATGTTGTCGGCGCAGATCTGTCACAGGGGAGTGGCTTCTGCCCACTTGGTGAAATAGTCTATAGCTACTATGATGAAGCAATACCCTCTGGAAGGTGGGTGTATCTTGCCTATTAGGTCTACCCCCCAAGTATGGAATGGCCAGGGCATGATGTCCGGGTGGAGACCATTGGCAGGTCTATGTATCTTTTCACCATGTATTTGGCATTTGTGACATCTACGTACATGTCATTAGGTATCTTTCATCATGGTTTGCCAATAAAACCCTAAGTGTAGGATGTGATTGTGTAATGCCAGTTGACCTTGATGGGTTGCAAGTTCAGAACTATGGGCTGCCTCTAGCACCTCGTTGATCACTTCACTGGCCAAGCATCGCAAGGGTTTACTTGTGTGCGATTTCCTGTATAGCATTCCATCTTGGAGGTAGAATCGCTTGACTTTAGATAGCAGTTTCCTCCTCAGCGTAATGTCAATGGGCAACATGTGTTCCTTTTGGTGTTCTCTATATATCCTTCTCCAGTCCTCTTCGCATATATATATATATATATTTACATTAGATACACGTGCGTAACACATGCCCTCCTACTAGTAAACAAGGTTTAAATTTTTGATACAGGCTGATACGCCGATATGTAGGGCTGCAAGTCGGGCTAGGTTAGGTCAGGTTTGATTGGAAGTCGTGATCACGTGCCGTCCAGCTGATTCTTGTGAATGATATGGTTATTTGGAAGAAAACTGTTGATTCTGCTCCATCCTACACTGCGCCATTTTTAGTGGGAGTAGTCTTTGGTTCCTACCTTGGGCGTGAACACCTCCATTGGGAGATATTGTTTCTCCGTATCAGGTATATCTCTCTCCTGTTTCTGTTTTCATATATGGTTCGATTTATGGTTCAAGATTGATCATTGAAAATGCATATTTTATAAAACAAGGAATGTGATTCCCAGATGAGGGGAGAGAAAATTTTTGAAATTTCGCCCAACTTTTCTGCAAGGTACGGCCATCCATATGATGGATCTCTCATCCCTTCACCTTTTTTCTCTTTGAAACTGGTTTAGAGGGGTTGGTTTAAGGCTAGTCTACCCCCTGAACCAGGTCACACCCCGATACAACCCATGTAAGGGCGTATTGTTAAGCCAATTATACGATATTATATGCCCAATACAAGTCGTATGGTATAAAAAAATTGAACCTTGCTAGTAATATAAAAACACTATGATATGGTAAGGAAGGTTTAACATGATATACATAACTATGGCTAGCTTTATATTAGGATTCTATATATTAATTATTCCATTGTTTTTTTTTTCTTATAAGCCAATGGGCATCTTTTTAATATCTTTAAAAATGGTGTTAATTCCATCTTGCCATATGAGGTATTAAATATTGTTTTTTTTTCCTATTTAAAATATTTTTTTTCTCATAAATAAATTATATTAATTAGATCAATATCCAATACTTTAAATAATATAAAATTCATATTTAAAAAAATGACCTAAAAACAAAACTTCAGTGTGTCCATGTAATAAATAAGCAATTAAACTATAGAAGTCAAATGAATTAATACCATAATTAAATAATAAAAAATATATAAACAAAAAAACATAAATTTTATAAAACTTTTAGATACATTATTTTTATTAGTATCATCATCTAAGGTTGTCGTGAACACTTATAATAACATATAATAAATTCCTTTGCAGATTTATAAATGATAATCGGGTGAGACACGTAATGACGGGTTTAATGAATTTGGAAACGGATTTGGACTTAAAGGGTGAGCGGGTTTGGAAACGGGAGGTCAATTATCGCGGGTACCCGACGCGTTGCCATCCCTAGAATTGCAACTGCAGCAGACGACACGACCTTGCTAGCGTTGCTTCATACATTTGTGCGCTTTCGTAACACAATCTCCGTTTTCTACAGATACGTATAGAGAGAAAAAGACAATCGTATATACAAACTCGATCTCTGCTCTATCTCTCACATTCACCATTTTCCTTTCCCCCCTTTATTATTATTTTGCGTTATATTTTCCTCTTCGTCCCTCTCCCTCTCACTGATACCGACTGTGTCTCTCTTACATGTCGACGGATCCAACTGGAAATTAGGGCAGAAATCTATCATAATCGGTGCCAGAATCTGAAACGGAGATGTAATTTCATGAGGAGATTAGTCTGATTAGAAATCGAACCGTCAAATTTGTAGAAATTTCAGTTACTTTCAATATATTTCGAGGGTTTTCCAACGGAAGCTTTCACACATGAAGGATCCGTTCGATCGAACCAAAGTAGTGCTGCGGCACTTGCCTCCGACGCTCTCGCAGTCGGCGCTTACGGAGCAAATCGATGGCCGCTTTGCCGGCCGATACAAGTGGATTTGTTTCCGCTCCGGGAAGAACAGGTTAGGGTTTCGCGTTGTCTTTCTTTTGTCGTTGCCTTTTAATCTGATTATCCATTGTTTTACTATGCTTTCCCCTTTGTTTCCTGGTCTTTAGCTTCGTTTAGACTCGTTAACAATTGCGTTTTTATTGTCGAGTCTATTGCGTTCTGCTACCATTGTTTCCAGAATCCTTTGTTTGCTAGAAATATCATCAAGGATCATTTGTATCAGAACCGAGTTGAAGTTCTTTAGTTCTTTTCCTGACTATCTAAACTAGGAACTCAAGTAATGCAACTTTGTTGGATTCTGTTTGCTATGCTGGAGCTTTTCCGCCAAAGACGATGTTTGCAGTTGGGAAATAATTATTTTAGAAAAAAATTTTTAGTTTTGCCTCTATTTCGTTCTCATTGTCCATCCTTTGCTTTTTAATCATAAAACTATCTCATGGATATATAACTTGGTTTTGATCTTAATCTTAGGTAGTTGTTTAGAATCCTGAAGTTAGAAACATGTATCCATACAAATTTAAATACATTAATAAAGAGTTAATGCAAATACTATACTTTCTTTCAAACAAGCAGCATTTATTAGAGAAATTGCACTTAACAGATGTTACTGAAATGATTTTGCAGTCAGAAGCATCAGCGATATTCCCGAGCATATATTGATTTCAAGAGGCCAGAGGATGTTATTGAGTTCGCCGAGTTCTTCGATGGCCATATTTTTGTTAATGAGAAGGGTAATTCAATGAAATATATTCTTCCTTGCTTTAAAGGTTTTGCTTTTTAAAGCATTTTCTCTATTTATTTGGCTTTTGAATTGGTACTAAAGCTAAGCCACTGTTTTTGAGAGGGGGAAACCTGTATTGCAGTAGGAGTGAAACATGGTTGACAAAAAGTTATGGGATTTGAATTTGGTCTTATGGTCTGATCTTATCTTCTATAAGAAATTGTTTTTTGTTATTTCTTTAATATGACTGGGTCCAAATGGTTGATGTAATTTGCACAAGTTGCAATTTTTTTTGATCAGCAGAAAGGAAATTTTATTTAATGAAAAATTAGGAATTACAAGGCCTGGGTGTAGGTTCCACCCCAAATCAACAAAGATTACAGATTTTCCCAAAACATTTGCCATCTTACAGCCCCTTATTTGGCCAGAAAATCTGCCATTCCATTCACTGTTCTTCTTATCCACTTAAAGAAACATTTAGTTCCCTTGTTAGGCTTACAATCTCCCTGACTTTGTACTGGAATACCCAAGGAATCTGGGAGCTTTTTTCTGGTCCATGAGATGACTACTTGGGAATCCCCTTCCACCTCTAGATTGTGGAAGCGCTGTTGTTTCACAAGCCTTAACCCCTGCAGTAGACTAACCAGTTCAGCTTTCAATGTATTGCTATGCTCCAAGGGTCCTGAATATAGAGCCACCTCTTATGTTAAATATTTCTCTTTGTCACAATAGAACATCTTTGAGTCATCTAGTGATTCCTAAAAGCTTGGGTGGTGATTTCCATTCTTTTTGATAAAACCATATAGTTCAACTTTTATGCAAGTTTACAATTTTTAACCACTTGTCCTTTTTTTTTTACCCTCGACCCTAGGTTCTCAGTTTAAGACTATTGTAGAATATGCCCCTTCGCAACGGGTTGCGAAGTCATGGTCCAAGAAAGATGGTCGTGAGGGAACAATATTCAAAGGTATTTGTTTACTGAGCTGTTTATCCGGTTATCCCTTAATGTAAATTTCAATCTATTTTGTAGTTTATATGTTCATGGTGGCTTATGAATGTCAGCTGTTTTATTTTAATGACAAACAGTTTTTTGATGAATAACTAGATCCTGAATACCTGGAGTTTCTTGACCTTATTTCGAAGCCAGTTGAAAACCTTCCTAGTGCAGAGGTACAATTGGAAAGAAGAGAAGCAGAACGAGCTGGTTAGTTGCATTTCTACATTAAATATGCCCACATTTTTTGATATCTAGAGAATACTATCATCAGGAGTTATAAACCATCCTAAATAGGAATGCATAAATAGATGTTGAGATGACGGTTTTATTTTAATTTTGTTGTTTTATTGCTTTTCTAGGGGCTGCAAAAGAGGTTCCCATAGTTACGCCTCTGATGGATTTTGTTCGCCAGAAAAGAGCTGCTAAAGGTGGATCGCAGGTATATTACATATAGTATGCTTTTTTCCCCACTCTTTTAAGCTCTTTTGGTTGCCTTTACATTACATACATGAAGTCAAATGACCACTAAGAAACATGAAAAATTTAGATGACACATTTAATTTATCTTTTACACAGAGTTCTACATTGTGAATATATTGCGATTTTCTTTGAATCTTTAGCCAGAGATTCATAAAATTTTGAAGAAGTAAGGTGCCATTTGGCAAGTCTTTTTTGAAAGATCTTTTGACGGACCTGACAACCAAAAGACAGTGTGAGCTTTTGCATCAAGACCTTAGCAGCCTAAATACCGTTGGTTAAGGCATGTATTCCCGCATGTCTTTCCGCGCAAAGATGCAATGAAAAATGTTGAAAGTCTCTATTTGGAGCTTCCCAAAAATAGCCCAAAACGGGCTTCGTGCGTCTTGTCGGGGTGACATCTTTTGGCGACTAGATCTTTTCCCAACCAAACAGGAAAAGACCAAAACACAGGCTGTCGGACTTCTAAGCAGCCGGCAGCCTGTACGGAAAGACGCACCAAACAGAACCTAAATTGAAAAGCCCGAAAGGCCCATTTAGCAGCTTCTGGCTTTACGAGGTGGACAGCCTATAAGCAATGTTTGGGGGAAACCCATGAAGCCCAAAATAGCTGTCTTACAGCCAGAAATATGGATTCCCACTAAAGCTTCTTTGGTAGCTTCTTCAAATCAGCTCAGTTAAAGCTTCAGCCCTCCCAAGCGGGCCCAAAAATTAAAAACAAGAGATAGAAGCAATGGAGGAGCTGCTTGCAAAATGAACAATAGTGGAAGATGTTGGGGAATTCAACAAAATGTTCCTTGTACATTCTCATTCCTTGGGAAAATGATCCTTGGGAATATATCCATACATTTATTACTGTACTTCAGTTCTATGTGCTCTTTTATGGACACAAATATAAACATCTAGAATAACTATTTATATCTATGCTCCCTGGTGCAAATGGAAATCTATTGTCTTGGGCAAAGTTAAATTGACGGCAGTGTATCTCTCTTGGATGTGATGTAGTTTCCAAATCCATGCATTTCCCGACCATGAAAGATATTGGTTTGGTCATTCTAGTCAAAGTATGGATGGCTTTGGTTGTTGTGCCCATTGCTTTCATGCATATGCAACTTAGTGGCCTAATTTACTTTGATGGGTTATTTGGTCTTTGTATAAAATCCTAGCTAATTTTTTTGAGAGTGACTATTAAAATTTGGGATTTAAAGTCCATGGATGAGGTTTGTTAACTCGATTTCATCTTGTTCATTTGACACTTTATTATTTGAAATCAAAGAATAAGCTCTGCTAAATCCTCATGCTTCCCCTGTGACTCCTGCAACAGTGTCAAAATGTCCAACAATTTTGGTGCATAAATTACACCTGGATCCCTGGCTGCTTCTCCAACCAGTGTTTTTAAAACTGTTATTTTGTTTGATGAATGAATGATATTTTATTAAAAAGAGATAGAAATAGTACAACACCCTAAGAGGGTTTTCAAACCTATTGTTATGGTTGGTCTGTTTATATATCACCTAGAGGAAGAAAAACTAGGTGGTTGACTTCAAACCTTGGAAGTCTTAAAAACTATCGACTTGGTCAAGAACCATTGACCTGGATGATTCAACTGTTGAACTGTTTAAATAATCTACTGGATGACAGTTGAGTTGCAATTTCTAATTTTTTAATTGAAAACCTATTACTAACTGAATAAAATAATAAACCCAACCAACACAAATACAAGTTGGGCCAGCAATTGCCACAAACTGTTTTTTTTTTTTTTTTGATGAATGAAGATAATTTATTAATCCAGAAATGAGGCAATATAGGAGACCCAAGAGGAGGCACAAGTTGTTACCTCTTCTAGCAAGTATTACATCAAATTAAAAAACAGAAATACCCAGAAATAAAATTACAGAGCAGCCCAAAATAAACGTTCCCTTGAAGCCCCTTGCTTAGCTAACCCATCCACTAAGGTATTTGCTGATTTTCCCACCCAAAGAGAGGTAACAGTCATGTTTCTTGTGAGCCAGTTGACTTTCCTTAGCAGGTCTCTGTGTTGCCACATAGCTGAAGCTGGGTCTGTCAGCTATCCCACAACAATCTTAGAGTTTCTTTCAACTACCAAGTGCTGAACTCTTAATTGTTCTGCAATCTGAATACCTTGTACTGCCTCTAAAATCTCAACTCTATTGGAGTCTCCTATTCTCACGGGGCCTGAAAACAATGCTAAGATGTTGCTCTCCTTATCTCTCAGCACCCCTCCTATCCCCGATGGGCCTGGGTTTCCTTGGCTGATTCCATCAAAGTTCAGCTTTGCCCATCCTTCAGGCGGAGGCATCCACACTACTGATTCCCTGTCCTTCCTTGTATGGCTGTTAGCCACCGCTATCCAGTTTCTCCAAATACCATCAAAGGAGAATGTAAGAAATAAGTCCATAGTTCTTAGCCAATGAATGACCCTAGTCAAGATACAATCCTCAACAGCCTGAATGCTTCTTTCCTTTTCCTCGAATACCCTTGTATTCCTTTCTTCCTAGATTGTCCACAAGGCGGCTGCTCTAATACATCTCCACACCATTTTTCCTTTTTTTGTAGGCCACACAAAAAAGGAAGGATCAAACAACTGACTTAAGTCTGTGGATAGATTCCACCTGCTCCCAAACAAAGAAAAAATCCAACTCCAAATAGAAGTCGAAAAGGAACAAGATACAAGTAAGTGGGAGCAATCCTCATCACTAGCCTTGCAAAGTACACACCAGTTAGGGGACAAACACAAGGAAGGCCTTTTCTTCTGCAAGCAGTCCAAGGTATTAATCTTTCTATAAAACACCTCCTAGCCGAAAATAATAATTTTAGGTGGAACCAGTCTAGACCATATCTCCTTGGTTGGAAAACCCCACTGCCCTAGGGAAGAGCGAAGGGATTTAAAAAAGGAAGCACAAGTGACGTAGCCTTTTGGATGAGGGGACCATAATCTCACATCCAAACTAAGAGGGTCCAGAAAGACATTACCAAGAGACAAGAGATTTGAAACACTGTTAAGTTCATCATCCGTCAAACCTCTTTGAAAGCCAAAGTCCCAACTTAAGGAAGAGGGTGAAGTAGGAGATTGGAGAAAATGAGAGATAGCTTTTTCCTTGTTAAGGGAAAGGGAATAGAGAGATGGGAATTGGTCCTTAAGGGCAACGGTACCCACCCAAGTGTCTTCCCAAAATAAAACAGAGATATCAGAATTGACATCATACCTGACAAAGTTGAGATATTGAGGGAGGATACTCTGGATTGCTTTCCAAGGAGATCCCAACGTAGCTTGACATGATACACCTGCATCCGATCCATTTTCCAGTCTACCATGTATGCTAGCTATCACTTCAGGCCACAACCTCTCCCTTTCTCTAGGCCACCTCCACAACCATTTTCCTAAGAGAGCTTTATTCTTGAGAGGTATCTTTCCTAATCCTAAGCCACCTTTCCTCTTTACTCCTACAAACTATTTCCAGTTGATTAGGCGATCTTTCTTTTCCTTCTTTGGATCCCAAAGAAAATTTCATATTATTTTCTCCAACTTCTTAGCCTCCCTATTAGGAATCCTAAAAATGGAGAAAAAATAAACTGGTAGATTTGCTAGGGTAGCTTTCAATAAAGTCACTCTACCCCCTATAGAGATGTAGTTCTTTTTCCAAGAAGACAATCTTTTCTCCAACTTCTCCAAAACTGGGGTCCATAAACTACTCTCTTTTGGGTTAGCCCCTAGAGGGGAGACCTAGGTATTGCAAGGGCAAAGAAGAGATGGGACAACCTAAACAATCTGTCACAGACTGAATAATCCCCTCATTCATATTAACACTTACCAGACAATTCTTATCCAAGTTTATCTTCAAATTGGAGACCTTCTCAAAGTGTTGTAGTAATGCTTTGAGATTCCTCACTTTTTGCCTGTCACCCCCTTCATGATATCGTCAACAAATTGTGGTGGGTTACCCGGATATTGCTCCTTCCTATCCTCCATCCACTCACTTCCTCTTCCCTATATGTCTTAGAGATTAATCTACTGAAGACATCTGCAACTAAGGAAAAGAAAGGGGAGAGTGGGTTACCTTGTCTAAGGCCTCTACAAGCTAGGAAAAAATCTTTGACCACCCCATTCACCAATATTGAGTAATGGCAGGAGCTAATACAACCCTTTACCCAATTGCACCATGTATCTCCAAAACCATAGCACCCAAGAACCTCTAGTAAAAAACTCCAATCCACAAGATCATAAGCCTTCTCTAAGTCTAGCTTACATGCAAAACCTTGGTTCCTCGACTTTCGCATGTCCTCCACACACTCATTTGCTATTAGGATCTGATCTATTATTTGCCTTCCCTACACGAAAGCACCTTGTGCTTGACTAATTATGGAGGGTAGTACTACTCGAATTCTTAAAGACAACACTTTGGCCAGGATTTTATAGATGTTTGTCACCAGACTAATCGGCCTATAATCCTTAGGGTCCTTTGCATCTATCTTCTTTGGGATTAGGGCTAAGAAAGTGGCATTACTTCCAGGGCTTACCTTTTTTTATCTGCAAATTCCTGAAACACCCCAATAAGATCTTCTTTAACCACATCCCAATAGTCCTGATAAAAAGCCATTGTGAAACCATCTGGACCAGGTGCTTTGGATCTATCCATTGAAAATATCGCTTGTCTGATCTCTTCTTCACTGAAATCCCTTTCTAGCCACTTTACTTGTTCTTTAGATAACCTAGTCCACTCTAAATCTTCCAATGTTGGCCTATTATTCAATGGTTTCCTATAGATTGATTTGAAATGTTCCACAATCATTCTTGCTATCTTATCTTGATTTGTGACTTCCTCCCCATTCACCTCTAACTTAGCCACGAACTTTTCTTCTCCTCCCATTCACCAACGCATGGAAAGTTTTGTATTTCCATCCCCTTCTTTAATCCATTTGTGTCTTGACTTTTGCCTCCAA